CATGCTATATACATGTTGGTTACATTGAGGATACATGCTATCATGCTATATACATGTTGGTTACATTGAGGATACATGCTATCATGCTATATACATGTTGGTTGTTTATTTCAAAGAGTTGTCAGCACTTTAGTGAGGATGTCCGGAGAGGCAATGAGCTGAATATTGCTGTAATATTCTGAATTGTTATCTTGAGATGATGAGTTAATTATCTTGTGATCACAAGATAACAACTTTATTATCTTGAGATCACAAGATAATTAACTCATTATCTGAAGGTAACAATTTTGCCCTCTTAAGATCACAAGACAATTAACTTGTTATCTCAAGATAACAACTTTCTTATCTCACAATAACTGTTATCTTGAGATCACAAGATAATTAACCTGTTTTCTCAAGATAACAACTTTGTTATCTGTTTAAGCTTTAGCTCAGCCATAGCTGCTTTTCTTGCATCTCTGGCAGGAAACCTTTCCTCAAAAATTAGAATATTTTCTCATAAATTTCCCACAAACATTCAACTTTTTATGAGCCTGAAGTCGCTTCTCATTCTCCAGTTTCTTGTTCGATTTTTTCTGTTCCACCTTAAATGGTGCCAGAATGCTGCACCATTTAAGGTGGAATGGGAAGCCAGCTGGAGTGATTATAAATGCAAATAATTCCATTCTTATCCAAATTATCGATGTTTATCTTAAATCTTTCTCTTTGCCTTTTCGTTAGCTACTAGCTAGGTGACACTGTTTACTGCGTTGCTATGGTGACCAGCAGTCTGTGCGCTGATCTTCAGGGTTAATAGGTGAATTAGCAGAGCCAGTTCTTTTGAGATCAATTTAGCAATTGACCACATGAAGGAAGGAAGCAAGGAGAAAGAAAGAAAGTAAGAAAGAAAGAAAGAAAGAAAGAAAGAAAGAAAGAAAGAAAGAAGAAAGTAAAAGAAAGTATTATTGCTGAAAATAGTATGTACTAGCTATCTGAATGCATGATGTTATTTCTATTTCATATTTAAACAAAGGAAAAAGAAAAGCAATGAATGGATCATGGCAGCTCTATTCAATAGCTCTTTTGAAGAGAGCTAGATGTTCTCAGTTACTGTTTTTCAGAGTCAAATAAAATTAAGACCACTTGTAGCAAGCCTTCAAGGCTGCAGCCCACCAGCTCCAAAACTCCTGACGTCTTCAGTTCGGCCTTTGCGCTTCTGAAGAACTTTATTATGCTTTGAAAAAAAGTTTTCAAAAAGCTGAGTTTTGTCAAAAAGTTTGAAGTCAGGCAATGCTAAGATCTGTAATCTTCCATTTAGTATTTATACATTTATGTTATGCAAAGTTTTCTGCTTTTAATGTAAGATTACTTTAAGATTTTGAACATTTGAACCTACACGTTGCTAAGATGAATCGAAAGTGATCACTCTTGTGTGAAAAGTGTGTCTATCCCTAAAGCACCTATTAATATATTAATACACAGTTAATATCACTGCTGTTTTCCACTGAAGATCTTGGTCAAATATCCCTATCAATGCACCGCAGTACTGCATACATTTTTAACTATGCCGAATCTTAAAATCTTAAAATCTCACATAGCACAGCTTTAAATAAGGAAATGTCTAAGGTGTACTTTTCACTCCGTCTGCTGTTCTTATCAATATGACAGCTCTGAGTAACACCGTATTTTAAGGTGGCCAATTAGCGTTTCAGCAGTCATTGGATGAGCTCAGGCAAGTCAATCAAGTGGGATTCCTGAGAGTAACGGAAACAGAATTGACTGTAATCTCTCGATCTGTCCTCAGTCGCTTGTCTCTCTCCCCTGTTTCAGGGTGAAGGAGCAGGTGATGAGGGCACTTCACCCAAAAGTATTAAAGCACTGGCACTGCTAATGATATAAGCTAGCTGCTTGGGTTTGGCAGAAAGAAAGAAAGAAAGAAAGAAAGAAAGAAAGAAAGAACGAAAGAAAGAAAGAAGGTAGGAAGGAAGGAAGGAAAAAGAGAACAAAAGAAAGAGAACAAAAGAAAGAATGAAAGAAAGAAAGGAAAGAAGGAAGGGAGGAAGAAAGGGAAAAGAAAGGAAGAGAAGAGACGAGAAGAGAAGAGAAGAGAAGAGAAGAGAAGAGAAAAGAAGAGAAGAGAAGAGAAGAGAGGGTTTGCTGTGTGGAATGACTGTGTTGGGGTTTCTCAGGGAGCTGAATGCACTTTCAGCAGCTGAACTCTCCGACCCCAACATGGAAACCCTGCAGTCTCACACTTGGTCATGGCATGTCACACACACTGAATCCCTCATGATTTAATTGCACATCCGAAAGAGAGAGAGAGAGAGATGGGGGAGTGGGCTGTAGGTGGTTGAAAGGTCCATGAATGTCTCTCTCAGAAAACTCAGAGTGGGCCACTGTTAGAACACACACACACACCCACACACACACACATATATGTGTATATATACTTTTGTATGTACAAGTTTTAAATAAATAAATAAATCCCAGTATAGCTTAACCACAGTATAACTTAGTGTGTGGAAAATATGTGATGTAAATTTCCTGAAACAAAAACATTTTGATATAAGCTTTTACAGCATAAATGCTTAAAGTGCATTTGTTTAAATAATAAAATTCCAAATTGTAAAATTATTTCATAATTAATGTGCAAAGCTGCATCACTGCTAAGAGGAACTATTACAAAGAGTTTAAAATTGGAGAGTTTTGATTTATTTAATACTTTTGGTCACTGCATGGTTCCATATGCGTTATTTCCTTATTTTAACATCTCCACTATTAATCTTGATGTTGAAAATGGTAAAAATGAGGAAACCCTTTGGATTAATAGTGACCAGTATCGTTTACAGCATCGGTATATAGAGTATAAACACACTATATTGTAGGCAAATATCATGAACACTGAAAGAGAGCTGAAGGAGTTGATTAATGTACTCCTAGTTAATCACTGTATCACATCAATATTACCTTTGAATGCTCATATTACTTTTTCCCCTCTGTTTGTCTCAACTCTTTAACTATACACCCTAAATTCCTTTTCTTTGTCTCTCTCTCTCACTCTCTCTCTTACCCATACTTTCTCCCTCTTCTCTCTCTCTCTCTCTGACTCCTACTTTCTCTCTTTTCGCTCTCTCTCTGTCTGCCTCTCTCTCTCTGTCTGCCTCTCTCTCTCTCTCTCTCTTCCAGCTGTTTTTTGCCTCTGATTTTTCCTCCTGCCCCAGATTTGCTCTGTAACGAGCTTGTAGGCCAATCAATAATTCAGTGGAGTTTGAATAAAACGCGGGGGGGGATCAGGGCCCATGCATGTGTGTATGCATATGCGTGTGTGTTTGTGTGTGTGTGTTTGTGTGTGGATGCGCATCTCGGTGTGTCAGTGAGAAAGATTGAGTGTAATCAGTGCCATTCATGAACCTGCAGTGTGTAGGTCTTAACCGCTCACACTTTCTCTCTCTCTCTCTCTCTCTCTCTCCCTCCCACCGCTCCTCCGATTGCTTTTCCACCCCGTCAAACTCCCTTTCACTTCAATCCAACCTCCGCCACCGTCACACACACTCACACTGATGCATACCCACGCTCACACACCACTGCGTTTTCTTCCCATCTCACGCTGATCTAATGGCTTCCATGTATATACAAATCACACCTGCTCTCATTAAATAAAGATTACGTTAAAATGCTCTCAGCCCTCAGCACGCCATCTTTTCCGCTGTATTTTCTAGCGCTATCAGAGCAATGTTTTTTCTTTCTCTGCCTGTCTGCTCAATATAAACTGATATGAATCAAAATAAAAGAGTTTCTAGATGTTCCCACAAAGTCCTGGACTATTGTACGAGTTTATTGCTTCCCTACTAAGGCTGCACAATTAAAATGGCTTTTTCGGCTTTGTGATGGTGATGACATCATACGTTCATATCAACTCGCTTGCCAATTTATTAGAACCCCTGTCCTTGTAGTTTCTTACTGATGTACAGTTAGAGACTAAAGCTGATCTGTTGGTTTGCCTACATTTGGCCTATTCAAATTGGCCTAAATTTGTTGACTAGCTCTTCATCAATGGTCAGCTTTTGACCATAGGGAGTGACGCTGGCTGGACTTTTGGGTGGTGGACCACTCTCAAACCTAGCAGAAAAAGTGAAATGGTCAGATGAGTCATCCTTCACTATGTTCTCCACAAGTGGACCAGTGCATGTGTGGAGTAAATCAAGAGAACAGCACAGGTCCGAATGCATGAGATGGGATCTTGAGACTAAGTTATGCTGTGGGGGCATTTTACTGGCATGGTTTTGGTCCACTTGACCCCGTGGAGGGAAAGGTGACTGCAAACCAATGCATGTACTGCAAGTACTGGCATGAGGGGTGACTAAATGGGTTTATAAGTGTAATGTTGGGCCTTATTGTATTTGGAAAGCCCACAATAGATTATCTATAGATTCTCAACAGTTTTAGGATTAGCCTAGTACCAAAGTTAGGTTTAGGACCTGGTGGGGGCTAGGTTTAGGTCTTGGGTTCAACATAGTGTCAGGGTTAGGTTAGATCAAGATTTGGTAATGTGTATAGGCTTGGTTTAGTGTAGTGGGGAACACCTTTGCCTCCTATGCTGTAGACTGGGGTTCAATCCCCTGCCTGGGCCAGGATCCTATGCTATACCAATAAGAGTGCCTGGGCAAGACTCCTAACTCTGTTTGTGTATAATGATAAAATTGTAAGTCGGTCTGAATAAGAGCATCTCCCAAATGTCATAAATGTTTAGCATTAAGGTAAATTTATTAGCAAAATATATGTTAAATTCAAGGTAAGTGTCTACAAAGCATTTACAGTGGGCTGTCCACAGTAACCAGATCTGGACATTTATGGTAGATTAGGACCAACACTGGATAGTGCTCTTCACCATCATGATCAAAAACACCAACAAAAAGAATATCTATCAGAAGAATGGAAGCACAGTGTTGCATCCCTCTTGTAAAGTTCTAGAGACTATATATCCAAGAACTCATATCACTGATTTGTTTGACTTGATATAGTTCCACCAGAAGACCCGGTGATCGAAGGAGGCCCTGTTGTAAGCCTAAGAGCCGGAGACCCACTCAACCTGACCTGCCATGCTGACAATGCTAAACCTGCTGCCTCCATCATCTGGATCCGAAATGGGGAGGTGCTGAATGGAGCCATGTACTCTAAGGTAGGTACTTACTTTGCTGTGGTCTTCTGGGGGGTTACCATATAGGCTCCCTTAAAAAGCCTTAAAATGTTTTTTTCATGATGTCCAAAGAGCCACTGATACTGAGTACAGGCTTTGAAGGCACATTTCATGCCACTGAAGGAAAATCATTAAAGATATTCAATATCATGAGGTTCAGACTAAATTACCAGGACTGCGCAAAATGTGACGTCAATCTGAAATGCCTTTTTCACACTCGAGCCCTATTAGCAAGTGTGTCCTTGCGGTTTGTGATTTTCTTTACAAAAGTGGCCCGAGGTTTCCCTGAAGCTTTGTGTTAAACGGCTACTCGTGCTGAAAGCAGTCTGTGGCTATGATTGCTCGCGCCATCTGCACTCCTTCAATTTAGCCCTCAGCTCCGTTTGATTGGAGCGAAATCCCTGGAAATCCAGCTCTCTGCCGTGCTGATGGAGAGATGTTTGTCCTTTTCACCCTGCTAAATGTGTCAACACAAACAAGCAGATGGAGGGATGAGACGAGGCAATAGTGTTTTCCCAGAATTCGACTGCACTCCACTGCGCCCGCCGCTCATAATAGTTCTGCATGTGGAGCACCACCTGAAACGATCCATGCTATGTAGCGACAGAAGAGTGTGCTCACTTTGTGTCAAGTCTGGGATGGAATTGGATCAAACAGTGGCCCTGGACTTTTGTTCACACTAGCCCATTGCAATCGGAGATCAACCGGCTAGCTCGCTAATTTGTTATCAGGCTGCTTTACAGATAAGGTAGCAGGGATGTGGCAAGTGGGGGTGCGAAAAGGGCTGCAACACACCCAGATTCCAGGATTAATTGTGAGAAATAAAAGAACTCGCTAGTAAAGACGCATATGTGCTTGTTGTGCTTGTGGAGTTCGTATTTTTATGGTTTATTTATATATTTTCAAAGTCTACAGTAGCCATGCACTGGTAAAGTAGCATTGTAGTACCCTTACAGTGAGCTGAATTGCTTCCACTGGCCACTTTGGGGGTGTAGCACTAAAACCAAAACAAGTTTAAGCCCCAATCCCATTTCTTATTATTACTTCTACCCCTTGTTTTCGAGTGTCACCTTGCCCCTTGGAACGGAGGCAAGGTGACACTCAAGAACAAGGGGTAGTGGTTGAAATCTTCCCCTATGAAATGGGACAATCCCCAAGTGTCCAGAGTAATAGTGAATGGAGAATTGCATACTATTTTAGAGTTGTTCAATTGTCTAATTTTGCTATCTAAACTAAAACAAATCAACTGATATAACAATGTCTCACATTTTGAATAATTATTTGTTTTTTTAAACCATTAAATCTCTAATTCATTGTGCATTCAACTATCCAATCTCAGAGTGCATGACATCAGTATTGCACAGTGCCAGTACAGCTAACCTCACCTGCAAGTCAGATAGCAGTTATTTTTTCCTATTCGTCCCTGAGTTTGACCAGTCATAGGTCCCTCAATGCTCAACTCCATGTCATATGGTCTGCAGCTAATCCCACCCCTGCCAGGATCTCCCTGTCATCCTGCCTCATGACCCATAGACGAGCCCCAAAGCAAGCACAGCTCTGAGCCTTCCGGCCTCTAATCACCACATCCTTGTCATTTCCATATAAATGAGGAACACCAGCCGGACCCTTCCCTCCAGGAGCCTTGCCTTCCTCTCATCCTGTTATTGGCTTTTTTTCTGAACGAGCGATAAATGGCATCGATCAGGCCGGTGCGAGCAAGTTAGCAGTTTACTCATCATCTGTCAGCAGCCTTGCATACACATGGCTGTTATCTGATATTGCTAATCAGATGTTGCTATCATAGCCGGCCTGGCAAGTGAGGTGGTGCTTAGGTGGTGGGTGGGACCTGTGGAATGATGGATGGAACTGGCCCGGCCTCCTCATATCTGTTCATAGCATTAAAAAGCAATGCACTCAATTAAGACACAATCGCTTAGCCTGAGTAATAGAGGCCCCTATGGAGTATAATCAGACTGCTCTCACTAACCCCACACTCCACAACGTCAAGCACATAATCAGGACAAATGAAGGCTGGGACGTGAATGAGGTGTGCGTTGAGCACGTCTTTCTTTAGGGATGGCCTTTATGACACCCACGCTTCCAGAGTTTTTTATGATTCAAATGATCAATTATCCCTCGCACTTCCCTTATTAAGGTGCGATTATGGGCGGCCGTCGAATGCCAATACCCAACGGGATAGAGTGAGAGCACTAATTGAAGTATTGGAGATCAGCAGATAAGGTGCAATAAGGACGGCTAACTCAATTCCCCAGTCAATGAGGGAAAGTAGTTTTACATGGCATTTTGCAACATTCCAGGCTTTAGTGTAACAAAGAAGCAACATGAGCTTTGCAGTAGAGTTGACAGTGACTATCAACACAATGTAAACAGATATCGAACAGTGACTTAAGCTAATCTCAGACCTTAGTTCAATAGCTGGTTATATACTGATCAGGCATAACATCATAACATTATGACCACCTCCTTGTTTCTATGCTCATTGTCCATTTTATCAGCTCCACTTACTATATAGATGCACTTTGTAGTTCTACAGTTACAGACTGTAGTCCATCTGTTTCTCTGCATACTTTGTTAGCCCCCTTTTACCCTGTTCTTCAGTGGTCAGGACCCCCATGGACCCTCACAGAGTAGGTACTATTTGGGTGGTGGATCATTCTCAGCACTGCAGTAACACTGATGTGGTGGTGGTGTGTTAGGATGTGTTGCGCTGGTATGAGTGGATCAGACACAGCAGTGCTGCTGGAGTTTTTAAACACCTCAGTGTCACTGCTGGACTGAGAATAGTCCATCAACCAAAAATATCCAGCCAACAGTGTCCTGTGGGCAGCGTCCTGTGACCACTGATGAAGGACTAGAGGATGACCAACACAAACTGTGCAACAGCAGATGAGCTATCGTCTCTGACTTTACATCTACAAAGTGATTAAAAACTCCAGCAGCACTGCTGTGTCTGATCCACTCAAGGTCATAATGTTATGGCTGATTGGTGTAGGTGGTAGTTTTACAAATGGGGGGGAGGGGTAGAAAGACTTTTTCGAAGATTAGAGGTTTTAGAACAAGCAACAAGCCACATGAGCTTTGCAGTGCATTTGATAGTGGCTATCAACACACGGTAAACACATACTGAATAGGAACCTCGGCAAGGTCATGCTGGTTAACCAGCATACCAGCATCCAAAACACATGTGCTTTGGTGATAATCAACATAACATCATCCATTGCTGCTGACCATCATGCCAGCATCCAAAGTACAATGTGTGCTGGTTTTTCGAGTGACTATGCTGTTTCAAACTGGTTTTTGTAGCAGGGTAGATAAAGTATGACTAATCCAATAGCTGGTTATAGGAGGCGGTTTTACTTTAGGGAGGGGCAGAGAGATGTTTTGGGAAATTAGACTCTTTACCAAGAGCAACAAGCCAAAAGAGCTTTGTAGAACATGGCACATAGGCTATCAACATGAAGCAAACAGATATAGCATAGTGACTAAGCTAATATCAGGCCTAGAGAACGTATGACTAGTTCAATAGCTGGTTGTAGAAGATAGTTTTACATTTAGGGGATGGGCAGAGAGACATTTTGGGAGATTTAGAGGTTTTAGCATGAGCAACAAGCCAAATTGGCTTTGCAGCACATTTGTTAGCGGCTATAACCGCATGGCAAGCAGATACCAAATAGCGATTAAAGCTAGCTTCAGGCCTAAAGAAAGTAATGGCTAGGTTAATAGCTGGTTATAGAAGGTAGTTTTATATCAGAGAAGGGGTGGAGAGATGTTTTGGGAGATAAAAGCAGAAAGATGAAGAGTCCTTTAGGAGGATATAGCAGATATAATCAGTTCTGTAGCAGATTGCAGGACACATGATCAGACCTGTATAAGGCTACGGGAAATCATCTCTATAACACACTACTAGAGGTGAGAAATACACTCTCCTGCTTGTGTGTGCACAACCATCCCTCTAGAGAAACACTCTTCCTCTATAAATTACTTGTGTCCTTTTCTGTTCTTATATCCTTCCACAAGCCTTAAAAGCTTTTTCTTTGTCTCTTAAATTTCTTTATTTCTACTAACCTGCATTCATATAATTATAAGCATTATGTCCACCATGACAGAATCTACCATGGGCAATATTTTAAAAACCCAGGATAGTATTTTCCTTGTTACTCAAGATCTTAATTCAGTAGCAAGTCTCTGTTAAGCTGCACTGAAGATTTAAAATATTTTATATTTCATGGAATTACACTTTATTTGGTGCTATTAGATGGCATACATAACACCAAGTGGCTACAGTCAACCTTATATTGTATATTTATGATTAACCATAGATATGCTTTCATACTGAAAACATGTATGCAGCTTTTGTTCATGCATTTAGCCTCCCTAGCATAATGATATTTTTTGCTGGTACCTCTATAGAATTCACTATTGTATGTTAGCGTTTTACATACTTTGCAGAATCTTTCAGTTATTTAAGCAGAAAGCATAATATTAACTCCTGATAACTTCTTAGCCTATAAGCTCTATACAGAGCTGATTGCTGACACATTCGTATGTAGTTTTTACTTTCTACTTCTAAGAAAAGTATATGTGAATACCAAGCTAATGTGCTGTCTTCACAAAAGAGTGATGTGGCACACTTGAGACCAGTGCCAAACTATTAGAGCCCTATACCCTTAAGATAATGCTGATTTCTGCTAGCATCTCTATGGGATTCTAGTAGTATGTTAGTGCTAAGTTAACACTAATTTACATTAACACTTTTTTGGGAATTTTAGAATATATGAGAACATTTGAAGCTTGTAAAAATTTGGAACAGACATATTAACATATTTTCCCTTATATCCCCAGCATAGAACTGCCACCTCTGTTTTCCATTTCTAACATCTGACTGAAACACATTGGCCAGGCTATCGTACTTGCAGTCAGTGATGTTTCTAGGACATCTAGAAGGCATTGAGTGTTTTTTT